GGACGGCCATGGAGGGCGCATTTACAGGGCCTCTGCCTGCAGGACCGGACGGCCATGGAGGGCGCATTTACAGGGCCTCTGCCTGCAGGACCGGAGGGCCATGCAGGGCGCATTTACAGGGCCTCTGCCTGCAGGACTGGAGGGCCATGGAAGGCACATTTACAGGGCCTCTGACTGCAGGACCAGAGGGGCACATAGGGGACCAGGACTAAGAGAGCAGCCCAATGTCAAAGGAAATTGGGGATTTTAATCCAGCCTAACACTCATACGATTTAGAAGCCATTTAACCATCTCCAAAGCCTCTCAGGGCCTGTCAGCTACCCAGGCCAAAGGCCACCCATGTCTACCCTCATCCAAAATTCTACAACCCTCCTGTAGAACATAGTCAGTGAGATTTTTTAGCTGGTAAAAATCAACAACACCACAGAGGTTCTAAACTTAGTTTGAGGACTGGTCTTAGCTTACTTCTATAAGAGTAGTAGAGATAAATTTCTTTAAAAAGACCCCTAATACTAATGTGCGGGTGTTCATGTCTGTGTGTGCCATTAAGTTGGTATTTCTTCACTTTGGTTCAAGTTAGAGCCACAGAAATAGGAGGAACTGGGATAAAAATGACAATCTTTTATCACACTCTTACAGAATTATATGGGTTTAGGTTCAGCACCCATAGCCCAGTGGTTACAGCGCCAGCCATGTATATAAAGTTCAAACCCAGCCTGGGCCTGCTAAACAACAATAACTGCAACAACAACAAAAAAATAGCCAGGTGTTGTGGTGGGCACCTATAGTCCCAGCTACTTGGAAAGCTGAGGCAAGAGAATCCTTTAAGCCCAAGAGTTTGAGGTTGCTGTGAGCTGTGACACCATAGCACTCCATGCAGGGTGACCACTTGAGACTGTCTCAAAAAAAAAAAAAATTATATGGGTTTAACCAAAATAATAAATAAGGTAATTGGGGTTATTTTAAGAGTTTCATAGTATACATCACATTGGTTAACCCTGGGTAGGTCATATGTTCATGCTCACAGAATCTCTAAGCATGTTTACTGGTATTTCTTATACAAGTTATATTTAATCTGATATGATAACTTACTGCTTAAGATAAGACTGCAGATGACAGAAATTCCACAGTATATGAAATCAAGTCAGGGTTACATAGACCTATGTAATCTATAATGTGTGCAAGGCTCCTTGATTCTTACTCCCAAGAATATACTTACTTTTAAGGGTTAGAATCTTTGGTCACAGAATGTAAGCCCAAGATGGACGTCGGTGGGCAAGCAGCTGTGTGGAGTGGAGGGCATGTGGCATGGGGCCTCCCTACCCACTCACCTTTCCTAAACGAGCGGCCCCTGCTGTCTGCCGCCATCACCCTGGACGGCCATCCTGCTCCTTAGAAGAAACCAAGCCTCGCTCACTCCACACAGTACAGGACAGTGGCTCTTCTCACCAGCATCCTCAATATGATCTGAAGGTTGTGTCCCCACAAAATTCACATATTGACATCCTGACTCCCAAGGTGATGGTTTGAGGAGCCAGAGCCTTTGAGAAGTGATTATGTGGATTTAGAGTCCTTACAAAAGAGACCACAGACAGCCCACTCACCCGTCCTGCTACTTGAGGACACAGTGGGAAGGTGCTGTCCGTGACAGAGCGTCCGGCAGGCTCTGGGTCTGCGGTGCCTTTGTCCGAGGGCTCCCAGCCTCCAGAGCACTGAAAACACCTTCCTGCTGTCCACAAGCCACCCAGTCTGGGAATTTGGTCATAGCAGCCTGAATGGGCTAAGACTGCCCAAACTATGTAAGTTTAGTAAAATTTTCCTTAAAAAGAAAAAGCAGTAAAGCCACTGTAGTCCTCTGTGGCCCGTCTTCTGTCACTGCTCTCCACAGTATGCTGCACATGACACAGCTGGACTCAAGTATGACATCAAACAAGTCTCAAATGCATTTAGAAATCACAAATCCAAACTAGGCTGAATTTATGGACCCTCCTGGATTATACAAGCTCTCCAGATTTAATGATAAAGAAAGGTAATCTCAAAACTAGCTAGCTCCTTAGAATCTGTATTCCTCAACGGTAAGCAACATCTCACAGCCCAGTTTAACTTCTCTTTTACTTTGAATTCAGTAAATACTGGATGTTGTAATGATGTGTAGCTTACAGCATAAATGGAAGTCTGGGATAATGCCTATTAAATTCCTTCAAAATGCATTGCACTAATTGTTCAATAAACTGATTATATTTCCAAAATGTACATTTAGAAATAAAATACTGGTTTACCCATTTAAATAGATTATCTGCAGGTAGTCTCACTCCAGAAAGCAAACATGCTGCGTGTATCCTCTACACCCTTCAAGGACAAATGTGAAAGGAAAAAACTGAACACTATTCATTCAGATCAGAAGGCATTAGGCAAGGGCACAGGCAAAGGGGCCAAAGTGCAGCCTGTCCACGCGTCAGCGACTCTGTGACGGTGCGTAGGAGCCACGTAATTACATCTCTTTGAAAAGGAGACATCTGTACCATAGACTATGTTAAAGCCGCTATCTACCCTTCAGAGTAACTATGAATAACCACGTATTTGCAAAAGTTTCCTACTCTCCCTTTTGTTTCAGTATCTAACATGTTGCAGAAAAACTCATTTAGAAGTCAGCTTTTTTAAATGTTTGCAAAACTATTGTAGCTTTGGAGGAAGAGTTTATTAGATAAAGTTTATTTATTCCAAGGTCTCAGAAGAATAATGGTAAAGTACTTTGCAGTTTAACACACTTTGAGTGACTGCCAAGCAAACATTTCACTCCCTTGCTGAAGAAACAGAAGACCCACTGGGAATCACTGAATTTTGCAACTTTCCAATCATATGATTAAATATAATTAAGACTAAAACAAGACCTCTAACTTCAAGACATGCCAGTTTTACAGTGGGAAATGGAAAATAGGCATGATCTTTCTACCATGTACAATGATTGAAGTGATAATAAATTTCTTGCTGACAAGTAAGTGCCCATCACAGAGAAGCAAATCCTCATGTGTACCTGGGAAAGTGATCTTTTTAAGGATCTCTACACATGTTATTGGTATTTCTTACACGAATTATATTTACATCTAACATAGTAACTTACTGCTCAGATAAGACTGTAGAATTACAGCATAAATGGAAGACTTGGATACTGCTATTAAATCCCTTCAAAACTGACTCCCCTATTGTGAAAGCTACAAAATTCTAGAATTCTTAAATTTCCAGATAGACTACGAAAGTTACTGTGAACAATTACATAAATATAACTACACAGATTTACACAGAAAATTAAATTCCATAAGCTTTTTGTCTTTTAGAAAATTTCCCAAAGTAATTGAGGAGAGGAAAGAGAGAGAAGCCTGGGGGGAAGGGCCTCCGAGAGCCCACAGTGGGAGCATGTGTGTGCTCTGTGGCCATGACCTTGACCTTACTTGGGTCCTCCCAACGTCAAGGTCAATAGCTGTTCATCTTAGCCGTCTGGTTGGAAGTGAAATATCAATAACCTTTTCCTCTGTTGGCCTGTGTTTGCTGAAGCTGGTGACGGCTTTCCTTTGCACCTGGGTTTGGCACTAGGTTTGAATTGCACTGGACGAGTGATCTTTACCACACATTCATCATTTGTGCAACAGGAGTGGAGCTCAGCTCTGTCTATCTGGAAATTCACTGAAGAAAAATTAAAAGCTGACAATTGCAGTGATATATTCCTAACTCAAAGAAATAAAGAATTTGGACAGGAAGAAAAGGTCCTTTTCTTTTGACTTTGGGTCATCATCAAACCTACATCATGAATTACTCTTTTA